TTTATTTATTCATTTATACGAGCACTGGATACAGTCAGAAGTGCAGGAGGGTGAAAGAATTCACCAGAGCCAGAGCGGGCAACAGAACAGGCAGACTAACGAAATACACTGCTGAGGGGAGCAGCAGACGGCAGGAGAGGTCTGCACACCATGTGGGACCCTCTCCCAGTGGCCGGGGATCTAATCCGTGCTGCAGAGGCTGCGGGCAGCTTTGCAACCCAGTGCTCAACCGCTGCGCCACCGGAGAGGCCCAATCTGATGCATTTTAGATGGTGAGTACCAGTTGCAACTATCCTATTCCTGTTTATCTACACTTATGCTACCAGAATGTAACCCCTAAAATAAATTTTTTCTATGTTATCTACTATGTTATTGATTTTAGAAACTAGACTTTTTTTTTTTTTTTTAAGAAAACATTAGGGAATCAAGCCTCCTGTGACAAAATGCATCCTTCCCGATTCAGAAGCTGATTTTCCTGACGTAGTTTCACTCACTTACAAAGGATGGCATGAGGGAACTCGAGAGCAGTGAGGAGCAGTCTCAGTGGAATTGAGAACCCACACTGCTCATTTAATTTAAATGGGAATTAGAGATATTTCCACTTATTCTGAATTGAGGGTATTGTTATGCCTTGCCTCCTCAGTGTTGATGAAAATGGGTTTTCATTCCTAGACCCAAATTTTATTCACATTTTGATATTAAAGAAGAAAACATTAGTATCTACCTCATGTTGGTAGCTTAAAAGGTTAGAATTTATGTCAGGAAGATTTAACCATAGATTTTATGGCATATTTAGTGTAAGCATTTAAAATTGAACACAATCAAGTCCAATAACTCTTTGAAAAAAAAAGTTGAAAATATACCAATTTGAGTGCTTTCAGTTAAAGGTAATACTATTAGTGATTTCCTGAGGAGTCACCTGAAGCCTTTTTCCAGACTATAATTGCAAAAGAAGTATGTTATGGGATTTATAAATAATTGATTAGAATGGGAGTTAAGTTATTATAATCCATTTGCAGATATTTTCTTTAAAAGGGGAAAATAATCTATTATTTATCGCTTATTCCTCTTTTGTTAAGTCCCAAACAAAAACAGGGAAGTTTGTCACTGTTTTCTCAGCAGTTTTATCTGATCACTGGGAAGCACAGCACTGTAAGATACTGGGCCACCTCAGGGTGGGTTGAGGCTTATGTGAGGGGTTTGCTGCCCTCTGTTAAACCCTGCCTGACTCACCTCGTTGGCATCGGATGACAATGGCATGTTCACCAGATTTTCCAAGTGATGAAAATGTCAGCAAACCCAAAGTTATGGCTCCCTCAACAACTGTAACTTGGCTCTTTGGACAGAATTATTAAGGCAGAAAAGTTGAAACTGACAAACACTCTAAACCTCCAGCTACACTAAGTTTGTGTCTACACAGACAGAATAAGATTCAATCCTGAGGCAAGGACCCATGTCACTCAGACAAAATGATCCCTCACCTAAGGTAACCATGAGCACAAAGTATTTTGTCTAAACTAAATTATCTCAGTAGTGAGCTCGACATTCTTCTTTGCACATGCAGACATGTAGGAAAAAAATCTACAAGAATGATTTAAATTTCAGAAACTAATGACACAAGGCCTCCCTGGTGGCACAGGGGTTAAAGACAGCACTATCAAGCTATCTGAAGCCACTGTAGCATGAGTTCGATCCCCTGCCAGGGAGGTGACCCACATGGTGCAGCAGACCTCTCCTGTCTCGCCCACTGCTCCCCTCAGCAGTGTATTTTAGTCAGTCTGCCTGTTCTGCTCCCCACTCTGTCCCTGGTGAATGCTCTCACCACCACTCCTTCACTCCTGGTTTACACCCCAGTTCTTGTATGCATAAATAAATCTTTTTTTTTTAAAGAAACGAATGACACATCTAATGAAACTGGCATGATTTCCAGATATTATAAATAATTAATTAACCAAAATGGACCATTTGCTCAAAGAGATTGACTTGATGTTATATTTTTATATTTACTCTCACAAATGTATTCATTAAGGGATGTTCAGTGAATCTTAATTTAATTTTTTTTATATTAAGAGACATGCCATTTTAAAAGCTGATTCTAGATGTAGCTATGGTGATATCAGGTCAAGAGGGGAAGACATAAGTCAACATTCCCTTTATTGACGTAGGTTAAGAAGGAAATAGGGAACGGTGGAGTTTGGGGAGTCCAATAGGATACTACATAATTCTTCTCAAGGCATTGGAATTAAATTACCCTTGCCCCCATCCTCATATGCTTAAATAAGCAGCCAGTCAAACAAGTTAAGGACACAAATGTCAGCCAGGTCCTGGTAGGGCTGAAAGAAGTTGCAGAACTGCAGTGTTGCATGCTCAGCCTTCCCCACTGCCTTTGGAGGGCCTATGAGCTCACCAGGACGGGTGGGGGGTCCTGGCTGCCTGCAGTCCGGAGGGGTCATGCCTGCATCAGACCTGACAAGATTATTTCTTAACAGAAAAACTCAACAGCACCTTGCCCTCCCCCAGTGGACTAATTTCCAGGTTTGTTTTTGTCAGAGGACCCACACCTTGCCTTGAACTGAGGCCCCAAGATTTGCTGGACTTATATAGGGTGGAAGAACTAGAAAAAACATTCTCACAACATGAAACTGAGGCCATTTGTTTGGAATATTAAAAAGAAATGCACATTTTTTTTTAATCACAAGCTGGTTTCATGGGTCAAAGTATTCGTTTGAATTAAAATCTTTGCTAGTTCTAGCAAGAAAAAAAATTCCTTGATTTTCTGCTTCTTGAGGCCACACAATTTTATGATGTGTCTCCTTCCTTTCCAGAAGTACCTTTTGTTGATATGTTTAAGTCAACTTAGACTTCAATTGAATTTGTGGAGATTTAACTTTATTTCTTACCTTAAGTCTTGGATTTGGACTTATTAGATATCCTTAGAGGCATCACTACAGATTTAATATAAAATTTTGGTCTTGGTCCTAATTCTTTAAGTTTTTATGTCTGCTACAAAGAAACTAAATTAACTTTCTGGGACTTATGTTGCTTTCCTGCTGAATGATCTCATAGCTATAAATCAGATTCATTTATTAATAGTCAGGGGCTATTTATTTAGGAAATTTCTGTATTTAAGGCAAAGAGAGTTCACAGGTCATACAAAGCTACTTCTCCATATGATTTCCCTGGGGAAAGCTGATTCTCTAAATAACACTGTGTGAGGGCCTCCCCAGTGGTGCAGCGGGTTGAGTTCTACACTGTGTAGCTGTCCACAGCCTCTGCAGCATGGGTTCAATTCCTGGCCGGCCAGGGAGATTCCCACATGGCATGGCAGACCTCTCCTGTTCTGCCCGTTGCTTCCCTCAGCAGTATTTTTGGTCCATCTGCCTGTTCTGCTCCCCCCCTCTCTCTGGTGAATTCTTTCACCCTCCCACACCTCTGACCTGTACCCCAGTTCTTGTATGAATAAATAAATCTTAATAAAAACAAACAAAAAACACTGTGTAAGGTGTGTATACGCATTTGATTTGTTGTGTACATATGTATGTATATGTGGTATGTGTATGTATATGGTGTGTCTGTGGTGAGTATATGTTTGGTTATTGTATATGTGTGATGCATGTGTATATATGTGTTTTGTGTGTATGTGTGCATGCATGTATGTGTGGTGTTTGTATATATATGGTGTTTATGTATGAATGTGTATAGAGGTACGTGTATGTGTTTGTGTGTGAGTGTGTCTTCCACTAGACTGTAAGTTCCTTGAGGGCAAAGGCTTCACCTTTTTCTCCTTATCACACAATCTCAGCATGTAGTAAGCAAAAGTCATTACTGAATAAATTAATTTCTCCAACTGGATGCCAGATTAAATAAGTACTGAAACAAAAATAGTAGAAAAGTGACTAATGACCATCATAATTCAGGTTCAACAAAAATGATATGCTACTGAGCAACCATTTTTAACTTAGAAAAATGGCGCTTTCACCGACCCATTCTATTGTTGCATAGGATTTATGTGCTATCTAACTTTAAGAACCTTATAATATCAATGAATGTTTTTCCACCAAAACCTTTGAAGAAGGACAGAGGAGTTTCCCCCCTTCCCCAGAGAATAAGAGCACAGTTAGTACTCCTAAGGCACAGAGAAATTAAATAGCTAACCCTGTCCTGAGTCTGTCACTGAACAAGTGAGCCAGCGATTGAGGATACAGGAGTAGCGAAGACAAAGTTCTGCCTTGTGGTGGGCTTGACGACACAGTGGGGCATCCAAACCCTTAGCCATACCAGGACAGTATAATATGACGGTGTTATGTACTGGGAGGTGTTATGGAAATACTCCAAAGGGCAGTGATCCAGAACAGCACCAGAGTGAGCTGTAGAAGTCATTTCATCCCATCCAATCCTCTCATTTTACAGATAATGGAACTGAAGCTCAGAGAGGCTAAGTGACTTGCCTAATGTCACTACCCTAGGATGAAATGGAGTCTGAGTCTCCCTATGACCCCATGCTCCCTTTTTCCTGAGATTGCTAGTTGTCCACTCCTTGATTTCTGGGAACTCTGAATTGGATTCTTTCAAGTCCCAAGTCTGTTAACTAAATATTATTTTGTAGACTGAATCAATGACTTAAAACAAATTTTTTCCCAGAGATAGCAAGCTTTGGATACATGCCCTATAATTTCCCCATTTTTGTACACAATGCATGTTTCCAAATGCCTCTTTTAAGTTTCATGTATGGTTTGAGTTGTGACAAAGGCAATAGGTTAAGGCTCAAACCTCTACAAACTCAACTTCAAAAGGCTTATTTTAAATGTGCAGTGAAGATGGCAAATATTGAACGTGCTCACTGTTGCAGTTGTATGATTAACACCACAGATAATAACTAAACATGTTTTATTGCATAACTGATAACATGTTCACACAATGAAGACACTAAGACACTTTGAACTATTCAACATGCCCCAAACTAAATGCCAGCATTTGTTTTTATAGTTTTGTAATCTCACCTGCTAAGACCCTTATCTTCATAAAACCACAGAGTTCCTGAATAAATATTGTGCCACAGATTTAAATCTTCTGGGGGATTTGATGCAAGTGGTTGCTGGATTTTACATCTCAGAAGCTCACATCTAAAGCAAAAGACAAGCAGAAACATTGGGATTATCTCAACAAATGTTATTACCAAAATTTAGGTTGTTGTGTGGTATGAGTGTTGGTGTGTGCATGCAAACGGAAAGAAAACATCTTAATTTACAACAATGAAGTTTTTTCCAGATGATCTTTTTTTTTTTTCCAGGCTGATTTCATATATTCAATTATTTTCAGTTAATCAGCTACATTCACATTTTTCCATTATCAGCAAGAATGATAACATTTTCAATTCCTTCTATGTCAGATTTGCCAAAACTCTATGGTCAATTTCACACAAAGTAGATATACAAAAATGCTTATAAAGTTAATGATTTCCTAAGACTTCTACTAGCAATACTTTATAAACAATGATAATATTATCAACTTCATAGTCTTGGCTGAGTGTCAAGTTTGGGTTGTTACAAACCCATTTAAAGTCACAGCTCTTTTCTTTCATCTGTATTCTTGACCACATTCTTTACAAATTTCCAGATAATAACATGACAAAGAATTACTGTGTTAACTTTGGAATTTTGAGGCATATTTGTTCAAATGAATCATTTAGAAAAAGCAGAAAGTTTGCCTGACAAATACTAAAAGTACATTAGGAAAATCAAATTGAAGATTTTTTAGAGAATCATGAGAACAGTGCTGATTCTCAAGGGATTTTAATTATTCACAATATGATATTTCTACCACAGATAGTTTCTATGATTCTATATAAATCAAGATACATAATATTAAATTTTATAAAAGTTATGAGGTATTCAATAATTAATTAGTTCTATGTTTATATGTGAGTAAATACCTCTTTCCATCCTTTCTAGAGAGTGAAGACTGTGACAAAACCCAAAAGCAAAGTCATTTACTCTTACCTTAGATTGGGTCCTTTTGGCCTTAATGGGGGTTGCCAAGAAATCCCAATGTAGGATTCACTTATCGGGATCACCAGCAAGGGGCTGACATCCTGGGGCAGGGCGGGCTCGGTAGTGATATGGGCAGATAAACTCTCTGTGCATCCTCCCAGATACCTGTTCTCCCCTGAGCAAGACACAATAGTGACCGAATAATTCATGAAAGGCTTCAAATGCATGATCACATGACTGAACATGGAAGAAGTAGCATTAGCACTGGTTATCATCACATGAGGGTCAGGCATGCAGATCTCGTAGCTAAGCATGTCTCCATTCTGAATGAGTGGTGGATTCCAAGTGACCTGCAATAAAAGATAAACTTAGAAGCTATGCGACAACACAGGAACAGAGCAATTCAAGTTCACAAGGCCTAGAATTTTGCTCTGTCTGGTTTTCAGTTAAATTTTTTCTAAATGCCTACTTTCTACTTAGCCTTTTGCACCAGACATTAATGAAAAGTTTGGGATCAATTAGCAGTACACCAGGAGCCAAATGAAATGCTGTGTCCTGCATTTGGCTTTCGTCTTGATACTTTCTAGGACTGACAGAAGAGTACACACCTTTGTGATTCATCTGCACTGTGGGCGTTCTGAAGGACACAGAGCACACTTGGAGAAAATTCACACATCCATGGGCATCAATGGGGGAGCAGCAGGATGTGATCACTTTCTTGTTTATAACTCAATTAAATAAAACCTCAGAACACCTCTCTTTGCATTGTTGCATTGTCAGTGTGTGCTCTAAATATGTCACTACTCTGGGTGTGTGTGTGTGTGTGTGTGTGTGTGTGTGTGTGAGTGCACGTGCGTGCGCATGTGTATGGGAGGGTGAAACATTATTTACATTTTCAGTGGATGCACAATTGAGTTCCTGCAACTCACTTGTGCATAAATAATACAGAAAATAAAGTCATGACAATGTGTTATTATCAAAGATAAAAGATGTATAGAAAACTTAAATAGGCAAGCAGAGGATGATTCTGTTTAACTTGTGAACTTAAGCATTAGAGAAAAGAAACAACATTTTGTAACGGAATATCATTATGTTTATTTAACATTCTCTTTCTCTTCTGACCAACTTTTGTTAAGGTCATAGTGGCAACCCACTCATGCTCTTTCGGGGGGGAAAAGGAGGCTTGAAAAATATGTGTTAGTCATGTAAAAATCACTTATTTATTGCTATGTTGATCTCTTTTATTGTTGCCTTGCAAGGCTGCTTAAATTCTGGAATACATACTTCATCTTCCAAGTAGATCATAAGCTTCTTGTTAGCAGGATACAAACTGAAGGCCCACTCAATGCCATGGATGCTGTGATGGAGTTCAATAAATACTTGCAGTCATGGTCAACTGGATTCTATATTTTCCTGAGCATACTGTTATTTTGAAATTTTAAAAGACACATTTCCATAAAGTGATGCATTGATACATTATGTGTGGAATTTTATATAAAATCAAAATTGAAAAGGAATAATAGAAAAATTAGGATGGAGAAGAAATGGCCAAAATGTTCTCCCTAGTTCAAAAGAAAAATTGTTCCCCCAAAGAAACAGGAAATGAGATTTTGTTGTGATTTCTCACTAAGGATTGACAGAACAGGCTTGTACCTGGTGTCATCTGGAGAGTGATCATCATCATAATCGATGACTGATGTTTTATCAGATGTTACTACATGACTGTGGAACACAGCTAGTTTTAGAAATTCATGGGGAGTTCTACAGTGTTGGGGTAAAGAGAAGTTTTTGATGTGCTTGTTCTTTGGGAGAAGAGAGGATTTGTCTGAATGTAAGAAAAGACCAAAGACCCTAAAACATGACAAATCTATAGAACCGACACAGGATTCCATTAATTTGTGGTGCAATGCTCTCTGCGGGCTGGAAAGAGGGGTCAAGGTAAATGCAGGGGGCTTCTTGATACTTCTAAGTGGAAAAAGGGAGATTTTGCCATTAAATTTCATTTGATGAGAGGTGGAATATAGGGATATATCATATACACACATGATATTCCTTGCTCTTGAACTATAATATTCGGGGAACTCAGGTCACAGTTTGACAGTTGGCAATACCTGTTGGGAAACAGGAATCTGTGTCTATATAACATTTTTAGAGGGACTTATATAACATGGTGGAGGATGCCATTTTCATTCTAGGCAGTGGCATTGTCATTCAAGGCAGAAGGGATTTAGGGGATCACCTTCCTGAAATTATCCTGGGGGTCATTAATAAAAATAGTATGTCTAAGATTTTTAAGCAGTCAGCTTGTTAAATACTAAAGTTCATTCTTTACTATAGTGGCCAAAATACGTAAAAGTCAGGTTAATTTCCAGCAGCCCTCTATACTATATTTACTACACATAGGAAAGATTATGAAACATGGAAATCTAATCTAAGTGTTATCATAACAATTACACTTAGATTAGATTTCCATGTTTCTCTTAGTTATTTTAAGTTTTTTAAAAATAGGAGAGGTGGGTGGGTCTTTAAGGAGCCACTGACATTTACCAACTCTTTCAGATCTGGAAGAATCAAGACACCTTCAAAGATTCCTTTTGAAGGCAAACACTTAAGAAGTCAGGTGAAGTGACTGACTACTGGGGAAAGGTATCATACATATACAGTGTAACTTCCTTCCTGCCTGGTCTCCATTAGACTATATATAATAACTTCATTTACAAGAGTGTGTGTGTAGGTTGATATAATGAGTTGTGAAGGGGTAAAGAATAAATGTCCCTGATATTTGATCTAGTCTCAACAAAAGCCACATCTGAGCAAATCATATATGTGGGCCCTGGTTTTCTTTATCTAATGTGAAGAGACAATGGTGAGACAATTCTTGCTCTCCTGTCTAGTTACAGGATTGTATAATTCTAGACTACTTAATCAATTCAAGATAGAACCATACCACAAGGCCCAAGAATGTGGAAATGTCTGAATTCATACTGCTGTGCTTTTGAACAACCAACTCTCTAGTAAAACTTCTCATACAGAATTAAGTATACATTAACTATTTTTAGAAATAAAATTAACTACTTTCTGGTATGTTTATTCAAGCAAAGCAAATATATCCACACAGTGTAAACTTTCTTTTAATTATTTTTATATAAAAAATACCCCTTAAGCTACAACTTGATTTTCATACTTATAGATTATGGACACCTCTTACCACTTTTTTCATATATATATAACATTTCTTTCATTGCTGAAAACAAATTATTCAGTTTTTATTAGACTGATATCTATTTTAATGCTAAAAACAATATATCAAAATGCATACTGTATCCCATTGTGTTTCTTGTGTATTGACTAGATAATCAATAATTGCTATGCCAGAAAGTAAAAGTATGTTTACTTCTAATAATTATTATTGGTGAATTGCTTTATGAAAAGGCTATGTTAATTTACTTTATCACAAACAGTGAGTGTCCTCACACTCTTAAATATTTCTTTTAACTTTTGCCAATATTCTTTAATTACTTCTTTTTAATTAATTTACCTTCTTTTGATTTTTATAAGATATAAACCTTTTCAAATATTACTATTTGTATGTTCTCTTATTTAAGTTATATATTCATATTTATGCCTTATTTTATGTTGAATTGCCACTTTATCATAAATTATTACAGGTCCTTTGAATATGATGGAGGAATAATATATTTTTCAATTACATGTGGTACAGAAGTGTTTTTCCAATCTATCTTTTGGAGTCTGACTTCATTTTGAGAAGCCTTATGTCTTACCAAAAAAAAAAATCCATTTTTTACTAACTATATAGAACACTCCTAAAGATAATGAGATTCTTTATTTTGTCTTTATAAAGAGCTCTCCTACCTTTAGCTCATATGAAAAATTCCTTTATTTTCTTCTAAGCATTATACTTTATAACATCAAATTTTTGAATTATTAGAAGTTAGTTACAAAATGATGGCAGGATCTATTTATTTTTCTTATATGTGAATTGTCAGTTAGGCCAGTACCAATTTTAAAGCAAGCCATCCTTTCTTTTCTGATGAAATAAAATGGTACTTTTCACAGTAAGTCAATTTCCACCATATACTTTACCCTTTATCTAAACTTTCTAGTCTGTTCCCTATCTATTTTTAGGCCAATACCATACTACTATGATTCAGTGGCTTAGAGTTGGTATAAACACTGAGGGAGGGTCTTATCTCATTAATCTTTTTTTCTTTTTTTCAAAGATTTATTTTATTTCTTTATGCATACAAGAGTTGGGGTACAGGCCAGAGGTGTGGGGGGGGGATGGTGAGAGGATTCACCAGAGACAGAGTGGGGAACAGTACAGGGGGATTGACTGAAATACACTGCTGAGGGGAGCAGCAAGCGAGACAAGAGAGGTCTACTGCGCCATGTGAGTAGCTCCCTGGCCGGCCAGGGATCGAACTCGTGCTGCAGTGGCTGAGCATAACTTCAAAGTTCTGTGCTTAACCCCTTGCACCACCAGGAAGGCCCCTTATCTCATTAATCTTTTATTTCATGATTTTCTAGACTATTTCAACCATTTAGTCTTCTTTTTATACATCAAAATTATTTTATTCAGGTTGAAACAACAACAAAAAAATGATCATCATTCTGATTAGAAGGAAGTTAGGTAGTTCTGCTGACTCTGAAAGGATTGACAAATATGAATTTTCCTTCTATGGAGGAAGACAGCACAGTCTGCGCTTACGGCAGCACAATAAAGCAAACTTGGTATAGCTCTTGGATCTCTGCTGCCTGTGAGTCCTCACTCTTACTCCTTATATAATTCTAGACTGTTTACTTAATCTCTAAATTCTCAATTTTCCTGTCTGCGAAATGGGGCTACTAATAATATCTACCTGTTTGGGTTGTAGTAAAAATTAAATAGGAGCAATTCCTGGAGATTAGTATGAACTCAGTAAAGAGTAGTTGTCATGATTATTGTTTCATTTCCTACCATGGAGTTTATCATTTTTTGTAAAGATTGATTTAAACAGACATCAGAGCCTAGTTTATCAAAAATCAATGAGAATGGTGATGACATGTGAATAGATTTTTAGAAGCATTCCTGGAATATTCCTGATGACTCATTGAGAACTTTTGATTTTCTATTTATGAATGAGAATAAATAAAAGGTGTGGATTTAAAAATAATTATCACCACATATTTCAGGTGCCTTCTAGGAGAGTTTTAGACTCTTGACTTGGTGAGTTCTGGGAGATCCAGCTTCCTAGTCAAACTCATCTAACCTCTCCTAAACTGACATGTCACCTGTATTGTTTCATTCTGGGAGAAGCTGCATAGTCAAAAGAAGGATTAAGAAAAGAAAGAAAAATCCAGGCAACCTGTCTTGGATACTCTTTGTCATTTACATATCTGAATCAAGCAAAATTTTACATCAAGTCATTGTTTTTCTGAAAATATTTCTTTTCAGGTCTGCCTACAGAAAATTGTTCATTATGTAATGCCTTTGTGAAAGCACTGTGTTCATGTCACATCATCTGGGTTTGTTCTGCTACCAAAGTTTTGCAGAATTCCCCCAGGAATATAAAGAAGTCATTTCTGGAATGATCAATAACTGGAGGGAGAGGGAACAAAACAGAGGAGCACAAAAGACTGTGGTGATGGTTCTTGGGTGTCTTGGTGGTGGTAATTTTATGGGGATTACACCTGAGAGGAGAAATCAAAGTTGCACAAAAATGAACAACAATGTAAAAATATATAAGTAAGTTAAACAATATAAATAACTCTATTTGTTTGGGGTTTTCTTTTGCTTTTTTTATGCTAAATGATGAATGATTTTTAAAACGCCCTATTTATATAATAAACATTATGCCTCATGCAATTCTAATTAATTTATTTTTAGTGTTTTATCAACAGAATTCTGTGTCCTATTGAAATATTCCTATCAAGAAGTGTGTTTCTTTGACCAGTCTTATCCTGAAATTCATGGCTGAAGACTTTCAAAAATAGCTTTAGCTTATAGGATAAATTTTATTTCTTCAACAGTGGACACCACTGGGCATCACCCAGTGTGTGTGTTAGATGGGGGTAGAGAGAAACAGGACACAGATCCTAGCAATAAAGTCAACAGATGAACTTTGCTGTTATGCAAATGTCTTTTGTTTTGAGCTCTGGCGAGCAGACCGCTGTAGCAATGCTTTTGGCAGTAGTACAAGACGGAATTCATGGAAGCATGTGTGTATTTACACAAAAGAGGCTTCTAAGCTACAAAACTCCCTCCTGTTTGGTTACACTAATTTCCCTTGAATGAAGTTTGTATGCAAGCCAAAACAATGGTAGTTATCTTGTCCTCTAGAGTTCATTCCCAGTAGAATGAGGTGAATAATTGAATACTTTCTAGATAGCCCCGTAACATGCTATTTTCTTTCTTTCCCCATCATTGTGATTCTTTGATCATTAAAAAAATATTAGAATATTGGTAATTAGAATTTTTTAAATATGCTAATACATTCCTCTGTATTTTCCCATCTCTTTTCATTTTCTGATCTATTTAAATCTGACGTGGTGGTTAAGCTAAGCATCCCATTGTGGCATTCAAAGTATTTCAGGTGTGTGAGGCAAATGGAAGCATCTCAACAATATAATTAAGAGGATACAGGGAGAAATGAAAAACTGACATCGAATTCAAGAGCATTTGGGCCAAAGGCCAAAACCCAGTTTCTCCAGTGAATGCCTAAAACAACAAATGTGTGCGTTTGTCAGTAGGTGGCTCTGTTCAACACAGAGTCGATTCACGGTAAACTCCTCATCTGCAAAGGAGAAAGAACAGTCAGCCTCTTACCTTGGCTGACTCTGGCCCCAGCAATTGCATTGAGAGTGGCTGGACCCCAGCAGGTCTCGAAGGTCTCGTGGTCACTTCTGCCCAAGCCCTGCTGTTTGTACTTCCACTGAGGGTGCTTAGCAGTACTCTGTGTTTGCATATGGTCCACATGCTGAGATCACTGGTCTTGTCAATAAACCTCATGGGATGACTTCTTGGGAGTGTCGTCAGCATAGTCACTTCCGCCTTCCCTTGGACTCTTCTCTCAATTGCGAACTTTTCCACCAAGCCGTTGGGGTGGGTGGGGGATTGCCAAGATAGAATCACAGATGTGGGGGTATCTGAGAACAGCTCTGGAGCTGGGATGCCTTCTGGTGCAGCTGGCAGTGTCCACACAGTCTGGGACTCTGGGGACAGGGAATACCCTTTTGCAGTATCGGCCTCAACCTGAAACTCATAGGCAGTGTGTGGACATAACTGGGTTACCATGCAGTTGGTGACATTTCCAGAAGTTTTCAAGTGGAGACCACCTTGTTGGTAAATGTTATAATGGGTAATAACCCCAATGCACTGCAAAGGGTGCTGCTTGGTCACCAACATCAGTCTTGACTTCATGTCTAGAAGAACAGGTAGGTCTATGGGTCCAGGTCCTATTAAGTGGAATAAATCTAATAATTAATACTTCCTGGAAACATCCCACAGCTCCTCAGAATAAAGTTAAAATGTGTGATTACTCTCCTAGAAGGGTAGGAAATAGATCAGTTCGTAAAGGGCAATAAGTAAATAAGCTCCATAAAGACCAGAACCACGAAGGCACAGCTCATAAATGAGCAGGAAGCACTTGTTGACTATTACTGAACTAAATCATCATGTTCCTCTCCAAGAGAGCTTTATCAAAATCATTTATCTTTTATTAAGGCCAATGATTAAAAATACCATGAGAACTTTTTAAAATGTAAGATAGAAGAAAAATGGACAAGAGGGCTATTGTCACTGAAGTTCTAGCTCTTGCCATATTTTTTCTATAACGCACAGTAACTAATTATAATCAATAACCTATCATAACAAACCTGAGTAGTTTACAGCCCAGTAAAATCCTTCAGCATCTCTCATTATCTATTCCATATTATATCTAGTTCTGTTTATCATTCTAATCCATGTTTTGCAATTTATCTACTCCCTGTTAATATTATAGGTGATTTTTTACTGTGACTGTGACAGAAGCTGCCGATTTAGCTCTTTCACCTACTGATAAATAAACAATGCACAGATCTGACCTTTAGGTTAACAGGTTTTATGCTTGCTCCACTCAGCACTCTAACTGATTCAATTATCATAAAGGTTCAGGAGACTCCATGAATACTGAAAAAGGCCCACCATATGCCTGCAGAGGTGCTGTGGAACAGCAAATATTCTGCAGCCCTCCAGAGAAATTCCTTAATTGTAAATAATTTCACCATGCGACACAATCAAGTCACCTTGAATGCAAACCCCTCAGCCTGCGGAGGCAAAGTGTTATTTAAGCTTTACTGGGCTGCGTTAAATTCTGCAATTTGAAGGGCTGTTAAGTTTTTCAATTGAAATTTCATTTAAAATGCAGGTGCTTTTTATTATATTGAGGCTTTACTGCTCTCTAGGTACAAGCAAGAACATGGTGTGATAACACAAATCTGGCTCAATCACTGATCAGTAACAGCTGTAATTCCAGAACATTTAGCATTCTTATAAACCACGGCCTGAAATCTATAAATTGCTACAACAGATCAAGAAAATACTATATCCCCTTTTCTGCCCACAGCAATTTTGACATTTATGAGATCTTTCTGTGAACATTAGATTTTATTGAAAATCTTTAAAAAAGATATACTTGGATTTAGTAATTGTTTAAAACAGCATTGGTGCTGTGAGTGTGGATGCAATCCAGCATTACACCCCAGGTTTAAATTTCAAACGTGAGCCCAGCTCTGCAAAGCCAATGAGTCCAGCAATGGTGGGTTATGAGAGCACACTTCTAGACAACACAATCCACATATTTGTCACCAACTGGACTGATGATAGATTCATAATTACTTTTTGAGAGGAAAGATGTCATAGTGCACTAACCCTGAAATCAAGCCATTTCTGACAATTTGGTAATGCAGCCTATTTGAAGAGAAAAATCCTAAAAGTACAGTCATCTTGATAAAGATCACATTTTCCGTTTTAGTCAATTGCTCGCTTTCATTTGAAAGCTTTCTTAAAGCCACTGTGACATTTCTTACTTTGGTTCTCTAGTCTAGAGAAGCAGCAGCAATTATTATGTCAAAATACGGACAAGAATCCTTATTTATTCTTGTCATCTAGTTTTGGCTATTTCCCAAAGAAAAACAAGTGAAAATCTTAGAAGATATCACTGCTGTTTTGGAAAATCAGATCCTCTAAGGTCGGGGTCCATAAAATCAACAGAGGAGATTTAAACCTTCTCCCTCCACAAAAATAATCATCTATGCTTAAAAATCAGAAAATATTTTTTATTTGTATTTTCCGGAGGGGTCTTGCATAATTACCCCTCATATATGCTCTATCAAACTGTGATCTTCTTCAGGGAAAAGACGCAACAATGAAATAGTTTGTTCCTCCTTATGATGGAGATAAGCCTTTTATTTATCCTGAGTCGGATGATCCTATTCTAAGTGAAACAGGCAAGATAATGAGATAAACTTGCATTTCCAGCCCCTCCCACCACGCAGCCTTTCCTTACAGATGATCTCTTATCTTGGGAAGAAAAGATGTTCCATTTCAATTTCATGATTTCCCCCCCCCACCCCACCCCCCGCTAAAAAGCCAGCGTATATTTTATTAGCTTCTTTCGCTCGCTGAGTCGACAGACGCCCTGCTCTCATAGCAAGAGGTATCCTTAAGCTGGCGTGATTCCGAGAGGAAGTCGTAAGCAGCTTAATTAGCTCCTTTGGCGAGGGAAGTGTTAACCCTGACTCCTGGCATGCTTTCCATGTAGTGCTTTAAAATGATAAGCCGAATCATCTCATTCTATATACAAATCAACCGGCATGCTCCTGCATGGTTGAAAGGGTCACCACAATTATGTAAAACATGAGTAATAACTATAATTGGGGTAGTTTGCTAATACAATAAAAAGCTCTGAACATGAGAAAAGTTATGCTCACAGCAGTAGCTATCACTTTCTAAAGTAAGAATTCATGGATGAAATGACATGAAAAAGATGGTTATAAAATTTTAATGGAATGATAAAAGGCAAAAGTCAGCCTCTCAGCTGAATTCTTAAAATCCCTATATATCACAATCAGCTCCTAAACTGTAAAATCAATGTGGAGTATAACATGTTGTCAATGCAGCTGTCACTAGAGGGGACACTGAGGAGGCTGACAGCCACACAGCTCAGCTGGCCAGTGATGGAAATGCAAGTGTACAGCCCTCTCCGTGGGTGTAATTGTTTAGAGAACCCCACATGGAGCCAGGACAGGAACATCCTTTCTGCTCAGATCACTGGTTCATATTTCAGGCCATTTCACTACAGCATTAATAACGGAAAGTAGTTTCATTTTGGCAAATGAAATTATCTTTTATGGGAAACTATTTTGTTCATCAGCTTCCAAAGTTCAGCCCCAGCCTAAAATAGAGTAATAAAATCGTTAATGGTGGGATCTGCTTATTTATTTTTCTATTCAGGTGTGCATATTGAGAAGGGAGTGTGTGTGTGAGAGAGAGAGAGAATAAGCAGTTTTAACAACTCATACCTTCAGGGTGGGTGTAATGCTCAGCCGTTTTCCCAGGTCTTGTACACTTGTTTGCTATCAGACTTACCCATGATTGCTCAGTTTTCTTGTTATGTTCTCCTGATTGCCATTCTAATGAAAACCTCACTTAATTTGAAAGCTCTTTTCAGTAATATTAACTTCATAAATGAATATCCTCTAAAGTTGCCAATGAATTAAAAATTAAGGTGGCAAATATATGGATTTATAATTATCTAGAGCAATATATTATATGCTAATTATTAATGGAGTCTTTTGATATTCACTACTGGTATGTTAGCAGAAGAGGAGAGGGATGGAGTCTATCTCTCTTTAATCATGAATTCTTTTATCAATTTATTATTTATATCCCAACTAATTCCCAAAAGGATTTTTGACAGCTTATAACAAAAGACTCCTATGTAACAGGACAATAAAATTAAAATAAAGAAATATTAATCTTGTGATGATGAAGAGACACAGCAGTATCCCAGAACAAATATTAAGGATGGCCACCATGATTTTGCACCAAAAAGAAATTTTAGGTTTTTGGCAAATGATAAAAATAGGGAATGGACTGTGTGACTTAGGCATCATTGTTTAGTAAAAGGAAGATCTGAAGTCTAGGATGTTGTTGAAATTGAAAGGATATCCTTTAATTCTACAGGTAGGAGAACCAACACTGGGGCTATTTCCTCTATTTCTTCTGATCCTAGGACAGTAGCATTAGGTTAGGAAGAAGGTTTTGACTTTCAGAACAGAGTTATATTATTTTGCACTGGATGGCCAGGGATCTTTCCTGAAAATTTGGGACAGAAGTTAATGTGTTTGTGTGGGTATTCATGAAGAAAGTAAAAAATCCTAAAAGACAAGAGACTGCCCATTTGGAAGAGCCCCACCCAATATGCCCAAAGGGATTCAAAGGCCTAAGAAGGAAATCATTCCCTCTTTTCAAAGAATTTTCTGTTGGTCACTTTAAGCTTTTGATCTCAGGGTGTAAAATTAATAATACATATTAGCTTTTCAATCTGGAAATGTCAGCATTTGGTGGGTGGAATCTAGAAAATAGAATATTTAAGGACATACAGACAAAGCCATTTTGCTCTCAAATCAGGAGATGAAATAATTTCCTTTTCATCATGGATCTTTCTGCTAAATAGATATCTGCATCATTGTTTGAAAAGACAGACATTCCAGAATTCAGAAGTCAGTATTTAAAGCAACTGGGGAAAGTATTTGGAAAGGAGAATACAGAATAATCAGGCAACACTACTGAACCCTGTAGTTCACATTTTTTCATTAAATAAAATCAAATCTGATATAACTATGCTATGCCTTCATTAAAAATAGGAACAAAAATATTCTTATTTTTCTCTCACACTCAACACTCTTAAGATGCAGGCTGAGATTTTAAATTCTGAAACATACTGATAAAAAGATGTTTGCCAAGCATTAATAGTTTTACATTTTTAAATACTCCTAAGGGCACAAGTACTCTTACTAAATGATTTGGAAAATCCTGCTTTAGAATTATCTTGATCAATTCATTGAATTTCATACCACATTTTTATTTCCCTTCCCTGTCACAAGGACTCATGATATTTTGCTCTTAGTGCAGAATGCAGGAATGGGAACAAGAAAAAGGCTATCCCTTTGCAATTCTCTTCCTATATATCCTCTCTCCCCACACCACAAGATTTTGAATTAGCACATGGTTTTGGGCTAGCAGAGGTCTAATTAGGACATTCATTATATTATTCAAGTCACCAATGTTGACTCAAAGGGACAGTCAGCAGGCTCTTAGCAAGGCAATGAAATAGGATAGCTTTTGGGGTTTCTTTCCCTTACATTTGCCCTCCTCTTCTCTACCCTGGAACCATGCATGGGCAGAACACCCTGCCAGCTGCCCTTTGTCACCTATACCAGGGGTCTCCTCATCCAGCAATTGCTTTTTCTGCTTTTGTCTATCCAATGGTGAAGAAGTCAACTTGAAACTTGATATTAAAATGCACTCAAATTAGCAATTGTGCCTTTTCCCTCTCCTGGTCTTCTCTGGCTTTCCAGACACCCCCTATTGAGGAAAACACTCTTTCTCTTGTGCTTGCTCTCACAGAAGTTCTAGCTCTCTGTTCTCACCTGTGGTTCAAGTCTGCCTCCTCTTATAGTGAAGGGGAGGCTTCCAGGACAGAGCTGTGTCCTTCACCCTTGTGAGTTTCATGTCTCTTTCAGCCCCTGGTAGGTGGCAGGTTCTGAGTTAAGGTTTGCCTGGTGAGTTTTCATGGATATGCTTGTGTGAAACTCTTTGTAGCCAGTACTTGCATGAACAATTTTTGGGTACGTGCTCTATACAGACTTCCCACCAACCCCTGAAAATACAGAGATTTATGGGCTGAAGCTTGAGGACTTGAGAAGTTATATTTCAGAGGGGGATGGCCCACAGGGGGACTTCCAAGGCAGTCATAAGAAGACTTCCCAGGAGGGGTGACATTTGAGTTGGGGCTTGATGAATGAGTAGCACATCAACAGAAGAAAAGTGTCCTGATAGAGACAGATTTAATTAACATCCTATCTTGCTTGGAAGGGAACCTCTTTTCTTTTGTACACATCCACATTCTGGAAGATGAATGAAGGCGGGAAAAGGCTTGAAAATACTAGGGAGGGGGAATGAAAGCAGAACCCAGAGACCAGGATGATTTCCCTGAATACTTCATCCTTTGTTCATAGTGCAATTAAATGTGGAAATAATAAGAACGCATAATATAGTGAGTAGTAAATTCAGTATGTTAAAGGCACTGAAGATCTCACTGTATAGGTTTTGTATCTTTTAGCCTCTCCATTCAAAATTCATGGACCTTCAGTGTTAGCAATATAATGAACGGGTGGAAGAGTTATCTGCAGAATAAACTATCCTCATGCCACAAGTTTTATTTTAAAATATCTCTTAGATGAATAGTTAAAATTCTAACTCTGAAAGTTTTTTTTTTTTAGATTTATTTTTTATTTGTATAATAGCTGGGGTACAGGCCAGAGGTGCGAGAGGGTGAGAGAATTCACCAGAGACAGAGTGGGGAGCAGAACAGGCCACTGACCAAAAGCACTGCTGAGGTGAGCAGCAGGCACAACAGGAGAGGTCTGCCGTGCCATGTGGGAATCTCCCTGGCTGGCCGGGTATTGAACCCATGCTGCAGAGGCTGCGGACAGCTTCACAGCGCTGTGTTCAACCCACTGCGCCACCAGGGAGGCCTTAACTCTGAAAGTTTTAGCTACAAATTTGGAAAGATGTCCATATCTTTAAAGTTTTTAAAACTATATGATAAGTAAATTGCCTGCTCTATAATTTGTTTATCTATTTTGGAGACAGGTAAGTGATTTTTAGGAGAAATTTCATTTGCATTGGGCTGACCCATTGCACTGCTTGTGATACCACAATTTTGCTTTTAAATGACTGAGGGGCAATATTCCATACTCATCCTTGTTACCTGAAAAACTTCTAGGGAAACAGATTATCTGATATTTATTGCCCTAGGGAATCACAACTTTACAGAAAAATGGCTTATTTCATATTTTACACAGGGCGGGATTTTAGGCAAAAGAGCATGTCCACATTTAAGCTGAAGTTGGAAGAAACCCTTCCAGCCAACTACAATTTCTACATGTATATGTTGTACAGAAACAATTGCCAGCACATCAGAGAGAAAGAGAGGGAACAATAATATAATCAGGAGCGAGGGTTATTTCTAGTCTAAGGCATCAAAAATTTCTGCTGCGAGGCAAGTATTTTGATTCTGTTAATCACTTGTGTCCAAGCCTAACACAATCTTCATACATGTTTGCAATCTGCAGACATACATGCTAGATGATTGGACTGCCAGGAGAATGTAAAGAAAAAAAAAAGTCATGTGTTGTTTGTATTTATCTGGTTGCAAACTGTTGAACACTACACTGACCAAGTCGGCTGGAACAAACATCTTTTATTAACACACATTTAACAGGATTTAAAATATTCATAGGAAATGTGCATTATTATTATTTGGCATCAGCATGCTAGATTTTTAAAAATGCATGGAACTGGATATTGGTGGCACACTGAAGTAAATGACAAATTATTTGAAAGGAAAATCTATTAAAATTCTTCACAGCCCCTTTCTCTGCCCATGATAACTTCTCTTTATACTCAAGCATTTGTTTCTCTGGCTATAGCTTATTTCCTGACTCAGTTACCTTTTCTGGCTTCAGCGGTGTCACAAGCTTGATAGAAATCATAGGTTTGCTAGATCACGAAAAATACCACTATTGAGGAATTTTATTAACTCCAGGCATTTGGGGCCCATGGTTGATGTGAAAGTTACCTACTGAGGGGGTGAAATTTAAATGTGAGCACGAATGGCTTCTCTGTTTCATTCTGTAAGATGATACATAACATTTCTACAATGGAAATTGCACGTGGGCAAACAGGAGGTGCTGGCCAAGATCAAGTATGAAGTGCAATTCTGGCATGGAGCTGTCAGCATGGGTGGTTTCAGAAGCAATGCTTTGAAGCCTTGACAGAAAAAACTGCTTGTGCCCAATGCCAATCACTCAGTCTTTGTCAACTCAATTGTACATCCTTTCAGAGATGGCATCCATCTCCAGTGACACCCAAAATATAGAGTTCACTGTCATCATGTCTTGGGGCTGAGCAAGCACTGGTAACTTACCCTGGAGGGGCCAGTGGGCCAGCCTCTGGCTCTTTGCTAATGTGTGTGAATTTGTAGTGTGTGCAGGAAGCAGAGAAACAAAGAAGTCATCAGCTTCAAGGAAGGGATTTAAATAAAAAATGATGGTTGGGTTTCTTGAGTTAACACCTAATGCATAGTCAAGGGTTACTCTTAGGTGAGGACATTGAAGGGTTGATACTACTCACTTCAAATCCAGGCATCCAAAACCACAAAATCTCTGTGCATGAAAATTCTAATCATATCCACTGGGCTTTGTTTCACAGTGAGATGAGGCAGGGGATAAGTTTGATCAACAAAGGAACTCTGCTAATTGCTACTTAGCAATATTTTGGACTTTATATGCAAACCTCTTACCTGTAGATAGGAGGTCATACTCCTCTACCAAAACTTAGGGGGGCCAAGTGTTGCTATTTGTGTGTGGCAGGAGAAACTGTAGGTGCCGCAAGACCAGACCATTTTCCTCTTCACCAGCATGGCATAGTCTATGAGACCATCACCCACACAGAGGGTTGACTAATTCTTTTTAACTAACCTTTGTATCTAAAAATTTATTTCTAGTGGTTTCAAATTGTTTTCTCTTCTAAAGTCTATTTTGCATGTAAGCACTCCAGTTCGTACATCTGTACACAGCTGGTGACCATGGTGTCAGATTCCCAGCGTCTGTAATGTTCCTCCTAAAAGGAGCATAGATAGGTTGAGTGTTGCTTTAATGCTTTCTGACTCTTGGATGTCCCATTCTGTATTGTGCTGAACATTTACTAAATGGTACCCTTGAGAACCAAAGGGATTGGAAGTACCATTGTAAAGTTCCTAACTTACTCCCAGGAAGTAGTTGCCAATCAGAAGTGGATAAAGGATTATATATTATTGTTCATAAGAGTTTTTTTTTTTAATGAAATAAGCTTTAAGGGTGGTAAATAGTTCTGATTCTACCTTTTATCCTCACTAAAATAACACAATTAAGGGTATTATAAAAATTAGTCTATTTGATATTTGATTGATATTGTTTCACATACCATGCCTTTGAACTCATATCTAGCCTTCTGAAAGTCACTCTAATCCCCATCAGACTTAGAATCAGAATGGCTCTTGGTCAATAGACCAAGAGGTCTTGGTCAGAAGACCTTCTAAGATGTCTCTGAAAAGACTTGACAAGATAACCCCAAAGAACCTCACGTTTAAAGGTACTTCTTCTCATTTCACTCTGTGTAACTTGATTTAATTCCCAATTTTCTGTTAAAATTATACTTCCATGTATATTCATATTGAGGTTATCTGTCCACAACCAAGTATAACAACACTGAATTTACTTTCTATGGGACCTTCTTGAGAAATAAGATTCAGATTTCAAGCCCGTCTGCCTGCCAGAATTCCTCTAAAGCAGAGAATACTAAAATATTCAGTCACACATAAAAATATTTTAACCTCCCTATTGCAGGACACTCTGATGTACCCTGAAGGGTAGCATGGGGCCATCTCATCATTTATATGAGTTACTTTTTCCTGTCTGCAGACCTAACCCTCACCCTCCAAGCCCACATTTCTCTCTTTTTTTCTGGAGAGTCTGACTACGACCGCCCTGGAAAAGATTATCACCAGCAAATGTAAAGCAAATAGAGGAGGCTTGTTTCTTTGTTTTGGGAAAACTGAAGAGATTTAATACTCCCTAATGCAAAGGACATTTGGTGGTGGGTAGTTCAGGCCACTTACTGTGCTCTATGGTCATGAATGGGACCCAAAGGCTACTCGCACTTCTGAATCCATTGGAGGCCACCAGGCAGAACTCATGCTCTGTGCACGGTTGGTGCTCTCTCACTTCACAGCTTAACGATGCAGAAGGATTAGAAAATAACCTGTATGAGAAAGAAATGTTAATTAGGAAGCTTTGATAGTCAATGAAATTAAAAAAAAAAACGTAAAATATTATAGCAAAAATTTTTCAGAAAATGTCAACATATATTCAAGGAATGCAATTTTCTATTATCACATGATCAGTCCTTTAAATAAGTAGCCATTTGGCTGAGAGTTTGCAATATTGCTTTATAGGAGAGGAAAAATTTAGCTGCAGTCACAATTTAGCCTACTATTGACAGACTGGCATGTGGAATGTGCAGAATAAGTATTATAACTTTGCATTTTTGGGTTTCAGGTGTATACCTGCTTTAGGCAATACATGTGCTTATGAAAAGTTATGGGTGAAGACTACTTGTTCTGAAAGATTATATTGAGGCCTCCCTGGTGGCATAAGGGCTTAAGCACAGCACTGTGAAGCTATCAGCAGCCACTGCAGCATGAGTTTGATCCCCAGCAGGGAGCTACCCACATGATACAGCAGATCTTTCCTGTCTCACCTGCTGCTCCCCTCAGCAGTGTATTTCAGTCAATCTGCCTGTTCTGTGCCCCGCTCTGTCTCTGGTGAATCCTTTCAACCCCTGCAGCTCTGGCCTACACCCCAGCTCTTATATGCATAAATAAATAATTCTTTTTTTAAAAAAAGAAAGCTTATATAAAGAAAGAATAGATGGGTTAGCCTAGCCCATCACTGTTAGAGCGTGGCTTGTTTTTTAAATTTTTTGAACTTTTCAAAAGTAGCTTTTGTAAACAATTGCTGACTAGTTCAAAACATAAGTCTACATGGTCTAACCCTGCTGACAGTGAGGAGGACGGGCAAAGTCTAATGCTCACTCTAGAAATCCTCTGGTGGGGTGGCTAGGCCTCATCTGAAACTGGTCCCTGGGAAAGCCAGGGGCGTCGTTGAGAGCTGGTGTAGACCAGACAACCTGAAGACTGGCTGGCGCGGCAGATGAGAGCCTGGGAGGCAGCGCACCATCTGGAGCTGTCGGGACACACAGATGAATTAGAGCAGAGAAAACTGTGGAGAACATATGCTGGATGGAATCGAAATGCTCCATATACTGGAAAAACTGTTCCTTGGGATCAAAAACAATGTTAAACATGGTCCATTTAATTTAACATTTTCCTTCCTGAGCTACTGTACTTCCTTATTGTTCATTTCAACACAATGACGTAATGCTTTGGTTGTAAGAAGTCGGCCCCCAAACAGCAAGACCAACGGAGAGACAGTGCACTCCCACCTGCACTTCTGCTTATCTAATTGAGAACATGTGGGGAATTTAGTGAAGCAAATATTCAAATACCTTTTTAATTTAACTCTTTGCCCAACAATCAGGCAAAAAATCCCAACAGTGAAGGGATCCAGATCTCGTACTTACCCCATCTCTAGTGCCCGCCCCTGCCCTAATCACACATTACCCATGAATACAAGTGGATTTTTTTTTTTTTTGCAGTAAGGAAGATTTTTTAAATTGTACTTTTCTATAATGACAATAGACATGATTAGTTGAAAATAGTACATTCCAATCTTAATTATCACTTATGAAAATATAAAAATGAAACATTTTCCCCCGTGTGTTTTCTATAGCAACTGCCACTTCTCTGGGTGACACTGCCCTTATCATGTATGTAGGGGTGTGTATGTTGCTTTTTCCCATCTACGCAGTGTCTGGCATATCTGTCCAGAATCCAGCATTCCTGCTTCATACAACCTAGCAGCTAAATCTATTAGAATAGTACTAGAAAGCTTAACAGGATGTCATAAACTAAACCTTAGTGTACTAAAAAATTGACAAGACAACTCTATTTTGCTGCTCAGGTGAGTGAAGAGTGTCACAAGTAGAAAATAATGGAGTCAAGATATTTCAATGTTTCAACATCCATGGTGGCCCTCTTACTGATATGAGGACCACTAATGGGAGATGTCAGTTATGGTGGGATCAAGAGTTCTGCTCTGTCCATTACATTTAAGATATATAAAGTATACCTTTAGCTAGAAAGGTATACTTCAAGAACTTCAAGAAAGAAGTTGTAGCTAGGTCTGGACCAATATGCATGGTTTGTATAAATTGAGACTTGATGAAGTGAACTAGACTTGATGAAGTGATCTAGACTTGATGAAGTGAACTAGTGATTGTGGTAGAGATCTGAGAATAGAGCCCTAGTATCTGCCAACATTCTGAGGTCAGGAAGTTGCCTCTACCACAAAGGAGACTTATAGGAGTAACCAGTGGCAGAAGCGTGAACTAGAAGTCAAGTAAAGAAAACACCTCCCATAGGAAGCTCTGGTCAGCTGTGTCAACTATGCTTGGCTTAAGGAAGAATACTAAGAGCTACATTTTGCATTTGGTCAAGTGTGTGTGTAGCTGGTGACCTTGCTCAGAACAGATGCACTGCAGCAGTGGACATGGCAGTTCGATTAGAGAAGGTTGAGAAAGGCATGAGCAGGAAGGGAATGAGTGGATATAGTGAGCATAGACAACTCTTGTGAGAGATTTGGTTCTGAAGGGGCGTATAAAAAGGGGCAGCATGGAAAGAGGCTAAAATTATCTAAGGAAGGCATTCTAAAAATTAGAGATGTACTATGTGCGCATTCTTATTAGAATGATCCAGTAGAGACTGGGGGAAATGATAATGCAGGAGAACGAGTGTGGGAAAGAGGCTAGCCAATAAATGTGTCAATTGAATTAAGAGCCAGTGCACATGGGCTGTTGAATAGAGACAGACATGTCCCCTCATTATGCAGAAGAGAATATAGAGACCAAGGCTGAGATAGAGATAGGTAGGCAGATTTGATGATAGGAAAAGTAGCAAAGATCTCTCAGTGACCTCAAAGACTTCATCAGTGACCAAAATAAAAGCAAGGGCATCAGCTCAGTGCACAAGTGTGAGAGTGAATTAGATGCTTGAGAAGAGAGGAAGTGGCATGACGTATTTCTTTCAGTTAGTAGAAATGGGACATGACCAGGGAAGGTAATGAGAATACTGTCTGGGGCTGGCTATCAAATCACTAAACTCTGTGTCTTGGCTTGAAGGAAATTCATTGCTAAAATATTTTTAATTGATCTTTTATCTGTGAACACAAATCATTTTAACAGTGATAAGTTATTGAGTATGTAGCCTTCATTTAATTAATAACAAATGCACATTTACAAAAAAAGCCTGGAGAAAAAGTATGTAAATTGCATTGACAATTCAAATTGTGAGTGAAGATCAGCTCTGATAAGTCATCATTATGAAAAGCTTAAGGATTTTGAATATATCACTAAAACCCTCCAAATGTTCAAAACTGTGGAGCTGTATTTTTAAGAAAGAACAGAGGCATGCCAAAGGAGTAGTGTCTGTAATAACAAAGTATCTTGGATTCTCTCCTAAGTGATCACAAAAATACGTCATCCATTAAATTGGTCTGATTATATAAGATTACAAAATATTTCCAAGCAAAATGATCATCTTAAGTTATTTACATACAATATCTCATTCTGTATGCTTTAATAACACTGCATTCTGGAAACCTTTCTTTCCCCTCTGGTTAACCCCTTTTATCCTAGACCTATTCCTTAGAGGCTCCTTAGCACCAAAGCAATAACTAGGAACCAGCCATAATTCCACCCCTGGTTTCTTAACATGAGAGCTGGGTATCTATCACCTTGATATATGGCCTCCAAGATGCTATGTTGCTCAAAAAGCTTCTCTAAAGTTGAATATGACCCTCCCGGGGCAAGCACTCTACAGACAACCTCCTGAATCAACACATCTTGTCCAGTAAATACTAATTCTACATGGCAACTAGATAAAACAGCTACTCCAATCTATAAATTTAAAGGAAGGGTGTATTTAATAAAATTTCAAATATAACTATTTTTTTCCAAAGGCAAAATGAATATAAAATATGAAGCAATAGATTAAATCACAGATTAGGCTACTTTAGATAGTATGATTTTTTTAATGTATGATTTTATTAAACTTATAAACGATTCACACTTTTGGACTCTTTCCTATCAGAAACAAAAGAAAACAAAAAGCAAACAGAACACCCTAACCTTTTGTTCCATAGGGATTTATACAACTCTGGTATCGGGGAAGCTTCACAGAGCAAAAGCAGAGGCTTTGGGCCAGGTGGCCTCTGACTGCTGAGGCTAAAAGGGTCAGAAGAGTAATGTTATGGGGAGAAAATTAATTCAATATGCTTTTCATACACACCCATTTTTCAGGACAGCCACCGATCTGTTAAGATGACAGGTATTGTGTAGACATGTATGCATTTCAAAACACTGGACTCAAACACCACAGTAAGATGCCAAAGAAGCCTTTGATATTCTGTATGAGATTCAAAGCTGTAATAAAAAATATCAAATCCCACTCCATACAAGGTTCTTTGCTGGGGGCGGGGAAAGGGCAGGCTAGAGAGATCTGGGGATTAGACCACTTACTTTGCATTCAATGGAGAGATAAGACATGATTCAGTGACTAGAACATGTGGGTGCAGAGCGTAAGAGGAGCTTTTGTTCTCTGGGGGTTTCAGAAGGTGCAGGTGTGACCTGGATCTTGCCTTTTGGAGAAACAGACCCTGAAGGGGCACCATGGTGGGGAGGGGGACACTATCCGTTCTTCTGTGGTATTCATGTCCCCAAATTAAACTGTCTGGGGCTCCCATCAACTCTGCCCATCCTCATTCCAAGCAGGCGTGGTAAATCCTGTTGCCTTCACCTGGACTCTGGTGCCAGCCCAGTACAAAGACGCCTTCACTTCAGAGATAGTTCTGGCTTCCTCACTGATGTCTCCTTGTTAATATAACATAAGAGAAACCATGGCCCTTTATCTCTATGCCTCCTGGCTGCATCGCTGAATAGCCTGGCACATATTCAAATTCTTTGGATTACACATTTTCCTCTCATTTTCTGAAATAGCTACATATGAATAAGGATTTTATATTCAAGTTTCCAGAATGGAAAATTAAAGTTCAGACACATGTATTGAGTTGTTGAGTCATAAACAAATTGAAAACAGACGGCAAGACTCAATTTCCAGTCACTAAACCATATGTCATTAAAAAAGATATTAATTATGAGGGATATGCAGATGTGCTAACAAATGGACAGTCAACCTTGAGCTCAAGGATGTACAAATAGAGCAGCACTAAAAAAATAGTGATGAGTAGGTTAAAATGGATTTAATGTTCACAAAGTAGTCTTTCATAATAACTAACTTTTAAAACACATACTCTGCACTAGATTCTTTAACATAATTATTTCTAATTCTCAGAATATCACCAAAGATTGTAGCACTATCTCTCTGCAGTACAGATGGATCTGAGGCTCAAATTGGTTACATATTTTATCTCAAATCACAAAACTGGTTATGGGCAGAGTGAGGATTTAAGCTGAGACTGCTGAAGTTCAAAGACAGTGCTCCTAATTCTATACCATAAATAGCATGTGATAGCAGATGAATTATAGCAGAGGATAAATATTAAGTAAATATAAGAACAAATCTCTTACAGAACTAAATAGCTTGATTACTCTCAAGAAATGTTGAATTTATATTCTGTTCAAGTCATATTCTTAAATAGTACTTTCTGGTCTTATTTCATTATCATAGCAGGGTCTCTGTCTCCCTATCATTGCACAAGGAAACTTACCTTAAACTATTAGTGTGACTTTACCAGTTCTCAGGAATTCCATGAAATGCAAAATGGAGAGTTTCTCATGTTATTAAGAGAAATATATTTAAAAAAATAAATGCTATCTACAGGTAGGTTATGGAATTGACCTCTGACCAGAAAATGTTTAAAACTAAAACCCAGTAAATAGCTTAAAAATCAAAAAAGCTCCCACCAAATAAAGTATTGTTGCTTAAAACATCCCAAATGGGTGGCATTCAGACTTCTATTTGATCATAACCAATGATAGGAAGATGGTTGCTTTGCAAATTGTCTCATTATTGGACAGATCTTATTGCTGGTAAACTCTTTTTATGTAA